ATGGTACATAGAGGACAATACATGGTACATAGAGGACAATACATGGTACATAGAGGACAATACATGGTACATAGAGGGCAATACATGGTACATAGAGGGCAATACATGGTACATGGAGGGCAATACATGGTACATAGAGGGCAATACATAAGAACACAGAGAACAATACATGGGTACACAGAGGGCAATACATGGTACATAGAGGGCAATACATGGTACATAGAGGGCAATACATGGGTACACAGAGGGCAATACATGGTACATAGAGAGCAATACATGGTACATAGAGGACAATCATTCGTACACAGAGGGCAATACATAAGAACACAGAGAACAATACATGGGTACACAGAGGGCAATACATGGTACATAGAGGACAATACATGGGTACACAGAGGGCAATACATGGTACATAGAGGACAATACATGGGTACACAGAGGGCAGTACATGGTACATAGAGGACAATACATGGTACATAGAGGACAATACATGGTACATAGAGGACAATACATGGTACATAGAGGGCAATACATGGTACATAGAGGACAATACATGGGTACACAGAGGACAATACATGGTACACAGAGGGCAATACATGGTACATAGAGGACAATACATGGGTACATAGAGGACAATACATGGGTACAGAGAGGGCAATACATGGTACATAGAGGACAATACATGGGTACATAGAGGACAATACATGGGTACATAGAGGGCAATACATGGTACATAGAGGACAATACATGGCACATAGAGGGCAATACATGGGTACATAGAGGACAATACATGGGTACACAGAGGGCAATACATGGTACATAGAGGACAATACATGGTACATAGAGGACAATACATGGTATATAGTGGGCAGTACATGGTACATAGAGGACAATACATGGTACATAGAGGACAATACATGGTATATAGTGGGCAGTACATGGTACATAGAGGACAATACATGGGTACATAGAGGACAATACATGGTACATAGAGGGCAATACATGGTTCATAGAGGACAATACATGGTACATAGAGGACAATACATGGTATATAGTGGGCAGTACATGGTACATAGAGGACAATACATGGGTACACAGAGGACAATACATGGTACATAGAGGACAATACATGGTATATAGTGGGCAGTACATGGTACATAGAGGACAATACATGGTACATAGAGGACAATACATGGTACATAGAGGGCAATACATGGTACACAGAGGGCAATACATGGTACATAGAGGGCAATACATGGTACATAGAGGACAATACATGGTATATAGTGGGCAGTACATGGTACATAGAGGACAATACATGGGTACACAGAGGACAATACATGGTACATAGAGGACAATACATGGTATATAGTGGGCAGTACATGGTACATAGAGGACAATACATGGGTACACAGAGGACAATACATGGTACATAGAGGACAATACATGGTATATAGTGGGCAGTACATGGTACATAGAGGACAATACATGGTACATAGAGGACAATACATGGGTACATAGAGGACAATACATGGTATATAGTGGGCAATACATGGGTACACAGAGGACAATACATGGTACATAGAGGACAATACATGGGTACACAGAGGACAATACATGAGTACACAGAGGGCAATACATGGTACATAGAGGACAATACATGAGTACACAGAGGGCAATACATGGTACATAGAGGGCAATACATGGTACATAGAGGACAATACATGGGTACACAGAGGACAATACATGGTACATAGAGGACAATACATGGGTACACAGAGGACAATACATGGTATATAGTGGGCAGTACATGGTAACACAGAGGACAATACATGGTACACAGAGGGCAATACATGGTACATAGAGGACAATACATGGGTACATAGAGGACAATACATGGTACATAGAGGACAATACATGGTACATAGAGGACAATACATGGGTACATAGAGGACAATACATGGTATATAGTGGGCAATACATGGTACATAGAGGACAATACATGGTACATAGAGGACAATACATGGTACATAGAGGACAATACATGGGTACACAGAGGACAATACATGGTACATAGAGGGCAATACATGGGTACACAGAGGGCAGTACATGGTACATAGAGGACAATACATGGGTACACAGAGGGCAATACATGGTACATAGAGGACAATACATGGGTACACAGAGGGCAATGCATGGTACATAGAGAACATTACATGGGTACACAGAGGGCAATGCATGAGAACATAGAGAACATAGTTTTGGCATAATGGTGTATTCTAACGTCCATGATTGTAAATCTTCATCAAGGGGGATGTTTCATGTAGTTGCCATTGTACATAAAGACCACTTATTAAACAACTGTAATGTTGACATCTATTATGTTCGATTTTGTTTTCATTTTCATGTTCACTTTCTTTATTTATAGATATAAAACGTCAACGCCAGAGAATACCAGTCTCGATTATCCAACAAACCAGATTCCATTGAGCGTAAAACGCAAAATAGCAGTGACAATTATATGAGTGGATTACTCAAAATCAGTGCTGACACGAGGTAAACTATTATTTCCAACAGTATTCAGGAATTACGTCCCTACTATTTCCGTGACTATATTTCTATTGACTGTACATACATACATTCTGATTTTCAAAATACTGATTGATGGCTACAGTAAAGCCTTGTGCGGATATATCATCTTTGAATGTCAACCAGGTGATCACGAAATTCCGAGTTTTTATGTCCTTCGGACCTCACGCAAAACATGCGTCATGAGGGTTTAATTGCTGGGAAGGTCAACTGTCCATTGTCTTATTACGCCTCAATATTCAGACTTGTGTGACATACACACACCCCTCACCGCCACATTCCCCATCCCTTTACCGCCACGCCGCACCGCACCGCAACGCACCGCATCCCCCCGCACCGCACCGCACCGCACTAAATCACACAAACACACACACCGCACCGCAACGCACCGCACCGCACCGCACCTCACCGCACCGCACCGCACCGCACCGCACCACACCACACCACACCACACCACACCACACCACACCACACCACACCACACACACTACACCACACCACACCACACCACACCACACCACACCACACCACACACACTACACCACACCACACCACACCACACCACACCACACCACACCACACCACACCACACCACACACACTACACCACACCACACCACACCACACCACACCACACCGCACCGCACCGCACCGCACCGCACCGCACCGCACCACACACCACACCACACCACACCACACCACACAACACCATACCACACCACACCACACCACACCACACCACACCACACCACACCACACCACACCACACCACACACACTACACCATACCGCACCGCACCGCACCGCACCGCACCGCACCGCACCGCACCGCACCGCACCGCACCGCACCACACACCACACCACACCATACCACACTACACCATACCACACCACACCACACCACACCACACCACACCACACCACACCACACCACACCACACCACACCACACCACACACACTACACCACACCACACCACACCACACCACACCACACCACACCACACCACACCACACCACATCGCACCACACTAAGTCACACACACCACATCACACACACACCACACCACACCACATTAAATCATACTAAATCACACACACCACACCACACTAAATCACACTCACCACACCACACTAAATCACACACACCACACTAAGTCACACACACCACACCACACCACACCACACCACACACACACCACACTAAATCACACACACCACACAACACTAAACCACACAAACACGCCTCACCACACCACACTAAATCACACACACCACACCACACCACACCACACAAAATAACACACACCACACCGCACCACACTAAATCTCACTCACCACACCACACTAAATCACACACACCACACCACACCACACCACACCTCACTAAATCACACACACCACGCACACACCACACCACACCACACTAAATCACACACACCACACCACACCACACCACACCACACCACACTAAATCACACACACCGCACCACACCACACCACACCACACCACACCACACCACACCACACCACACCACACCACACCACACCACACCACACCACACTTAATCACGCACCACATCACACTAAATCACACACACCACACCACACCACACCACACCACACCACACTAATCACACCACACCACACCACACCCCACCGCACCGCACCGCACCGCACCACACCACACCGCACCGCACCGCACCGCACCGCACCGCACCACACCACATGTATCTTAACATATTTTTAGGATTCAACTACATTTGTGTAAAAATGCTCCAGTGAGCTTTCGCCATTAACGCATGAAATCACGTCTCAATAAATCGACTCACTTCATGTTAACCCAATGACTCAAAGGTATGTCTGGCAGTTGAAACCTCCGATTGTTTTATTTTCTCAAATTCGGCTCATATTACACTTTATGACAACAACAGTGACGTCATTATACCCGGGGCCGTACGCGTGGGGTAGCCTAGTGGTTAAAGCGTTCGCTCGTCATACCGAAGGCCCGTGCATGTACGTTTGTTTGTGTGGCTGCTTGTACTAGTCCGGCCTGATGCCGATTTATAGTGCTAGCCCACTGAGATACCATGCCGCAGTTTAACATGAATACCCCACTCAGACACAGTATACTGACTCCGAGCCGACATGTCGAGCGCCAAACAACAATTACAATCTTTTAACGTCTTTGGGTATGACGCGGCCGGGGATCGAACCCCGGACCTTCCGCTCTCTGGGCGGACGCTCTACCACTAGACTACGGAGGCGGTCACATTAAACTAAGACACCGTGACAAATACTGACATGATCAATGGTATACTTTACAACGCAGCTCACTCAATGAAGGCAGCCTATTTATGACTACTGTCACTGTTTATCATCCTATGTAGGCCACTAGATCAATTCACATAAACGATGACAGCCAACAAGATGAACCGTGTTTGTCTCAAGGATGACTTCTTGACCATCGGTCAGTTGATGAATGAACACTGTCCCCAGTGTTGTATAAATGCTGGGCTTCCAAGAATTCATCGTCAAACCACACAACTACCCCCGTAAGTATACACTTAACATCATTTTGTAGTCGTGTTTCAACTGTACATGGTCCAAAAGCTGTAAGTTGATATTTTTATATAAATGTTTAATTGTTTCGTTTATTCCTTGTTTAGAATGTTTAGTTTGTTTAGTATTTGTACATTGCTGCGTGATTAAAACCAAATTACAAAATTTATACATTTTTCGTGAATACTATAACATGAAGTTGGCGATAGGATTTTGAACAAACATCTGTAACACTCGTATTGAAAGCGAGACGTGGGATAGAACTTCATGCGTGCTGAAGGTCGCCAATGGCTACGTCATCGTGCTTGGAACTGTCCTTTGCTTCTCATATAGGCATTGACCAAACATGCATAGACTCGGTTCAGTCTTCATCTCAGTCTAATATGGAGTATGGAGATACTATCATTTGCAAACATTGACAATACTACTTTTAGTCAAGTTGTAGGATTGTTCATATATATAACGTTAACGCCAGAGAATAATGAGTCTCGGCTTCACTGGGTTTAAACGCAAAATTGTTGTGTAATTTAAGACACGACACAATGATCCTTTGTACTATAGGTTGTCAAAAAAAATGCCTGGAACATTTCGTTTACTCCAAAATATGTTTTTGTATACTAGCTTCCAAAATGGCCATCCAATCCACAGTCCTGCTCGTCCTCTGCTTCCTGGCAACAACCACGGCATATCTTCCCTTCTTGTCGAGGCGCTTCCCAATGCGCCTGCCTGTCCCGATGCGTCGTCTCATGCCTATGCATTATGGTGGAATTGGGGGCTACCCTGGAATGGGGATACCTCCAGTTTTAGGCGGCATCAACGCCTTGGGCGGTGGCGTCCTTGGCGGTGGCGGCCTTGGTGGTGGCGTCCTTGGTGGTGGCGTCCTTGGCGGTGGCGGCCTTGGTGGTGGCGTCCTTGGTGGTGGCGTCCTTGGCGGTGGCGGCCTTGGTGGTGGCGTCATTGGCGGTGGCGTCATTGGTGGTGGCGTCCTTGGCGGTGGCGGCCTTGGTGGTGGCGTCGTTGGCGGTGGTGTCATTGGTGGTGGCGTCCTTGGCGGCGGTGTCGGGGTTCCCGGAGTCATCAACGGCATTGGCGGTGACTTTAACGTTGTTGGGGGAGGCATTGGTCAAGGTCATTCTTCGGTGGTGTACTTGGGAGACGGGCCGGACACACCAGATCACTGTAAGTCTAAATGCTTGTCTACATCTAACCCGTGACCATGTCACACATCCATAATGCTTTGTTCATTTTTATCCGTTCAGGCAACTAAAGTTGTAAGCACAACATGTATAGTATCACTGATACGTGGTTTTCATTCAGCACTCCAGTCACATGTAGATGTTTGTGACATTAATCACGGGAATGCGTTATGGAAGTATAATGTGTAATGAACCGACGTTTTTACATGATTCCGTGTCTGACTAACCAAGCATACGAACAATGTCCCTTGTCGAGGTTCCATCAGTGATCGTCGGGAAGTAGGAGTTTCCGATTAATGGTATCCGAATTAATGGCGTTTCCGAATTAACCATGTTCCCCCGTTTTTGCTATATCGTCAGGTCAGGTTCTTCCGAAAGGTGTGTTACGGGTAATTTGATAACGAAGCGCGTAATGCTAAAGAAATAAACGAGTCAATGAAGTCGGAATTTATACCTGTATGTTTGGACATATATGTTAAACGCGAGGTTTCAAATTTCGTATTCCACTGTTAAAGAACCGGCACACTCGTATCTTTAAATGGTTTCATTAAAATATTTATGGGTTTAAGGCTTCAGTGTTTATATGTGTTTACATAGAGCCTAACGCCATTAAATCTTACCTTCTTAAAACGTGATAAATTAAAGATGAAAGTAATGCGTTCAAACACCAATTTGTCCTAGATCTTAGACAGCATGTTATGTTGCATATTTAGCTTCCTTATACCTCCTGGCAAGCCGTACTCTCAAGACAGACTCTGAAACTGCCAAGCCATCAAGGTGGTCTGACACGTGATCGCTACAGTTAAAATGGCAATGCGGTTTTAATATAAAACGTAGAAAAGGTTCATACTTCTTAAATTAAAAAAATATATATGTATCAGCCTGAATTAATACTTTAATCATAATCTGTTTTCGTTATTACAGATGTGATTGGTTGAACGGCTTCGAGAAGACAAAACTCCAAAGAGGGCATTAAAACTTCTCCTTCAAGACTCGAGGCTGAGCAGTTACTGTTATATTATAACAAAAAAAACTTGGGGTGAAACTCTGATATACAAGATGCAAAATGCATCGATTTTTCTGTTACCTAGAAACTAAAGACGTTGCAAATCTCGGTGTTTAAATGCAGCACGTGTTGTGTTATGTTGAAGTTGTTTTTGTTTCGTTCTGTATCAAGTGCCATCAACATGATGTAAAATAAATGGTATAAAGTCTTACTTTGTTAAACTATTATTTGTTTTATTGCCGTCTCTTGTGAAAGGATCAGTGCCGATGTTCCTTCCATGGCAGATTGTCTCTCAGTCACAGTCCTTACAAAACGAAAGTAACTGACAATGATGACACAATGTGGAAAACGAAATCGACCAGAAACTGTTCTCACTCTTGTAGCAACAGAAAACATATTATCACTTGACTTTATACTGCTGCATGTGTTGCGCTAATCACGGAACGTTGAAGACAGCCATCGAACGATACTCATGGACTGGAAGACAGGAAGTAACACGTGATCTAAATATGTCACAATCGATGGAATTCCCGGTGTTATAGCTACGACTTATGTGAAGAAATGTGTGACTTGTAACACATTACTTGTATTCACAAAGCAGACATTGCAGTGTCCATTAGTGTGTGTGTGTTTTTCTGTGCCTGTGTGTGACAGTGTATGTGTGTGAGTGCCTGTGTGTCTGCGTGTGTGTATCTGTGCCTGTGTGTGTATTTGTGCCTGAGTGCGTGTGTGAGGGTTTGCAGTGTGAGTGAGTGAGTGAGTGTGTGTGTGTGTGTGTGTGTGTGTGTGTGTGTGTGTGTGTGTGTGTGTGTGTGTGTGTGTGTGTGTGTGTGTGTGTGTGTGTGTGTGTGTGTGTGTGTGTGTGTGTGTGTGTGTGTGTATTCGTGCCTGTGTGTGTGTCAAGCCTCTGTATGGTTGTGAGGGAATATATATGTGTGAATGATAATGTGTGTATATATATTATATATACATGCCTGTGTGAATATGACTGTTTGTTACTAAGCAATGCGAAGTAGTAATGGGCACTGGGCAATCATATCACCAAATACTCAAAGCCAAAGGGATTGTTTTACACCAAATATGACATCATTAAAGTATGGACATACATATCTGTGGGAATTCCATCCTTAAATTCAAGTTTGTGAGGGTTCGTGTACGGACTGTCACTGGTAGTCCACTGGTGCTATTTATTGATATTTCACTTTATGTTATGTTGGGCATGTTTCAGCTACTGGTTTAAGAAACAAGTTGGACTGAGATTTACTCGAGAGCACCAAATATGTTCTCTCCTTTATCATGAAACTTAAGATAAATATCAACCAGGTAAACTGGTGTCTTTTGCAAGATTCGTTTTGCTTGTTTGGTTTTTAACGCCGCACTCAGCTATATTCCAGCTATATGACGGTGGTCTGTAAATAATCGAGTCTGGGCCAGACAATCCCGTGACTGACATCATGAGCATCGATCCAAATATTCGGAATACTTTGATTTTATAGATCTTTGGAATCCATGACATTAGAGGAATGGGCATGTCTTCATCAAGTAGTGGAGTTTACATCATGAGCCAAGTCCACGTCCAGCAACACTTACCTATAATTTAACAACCGGGATGAAATGGTGTTCATATAGAGAAATGAAATTGTTTGTGGTTCCTGAAATTTGTAATATTGTGGCACATTTGGGAAACTGATTTTTGTCTGAGTATGTTACTCATATTTTAGGTATCAATTCCCTTGTTTGCGAACTTTAACATTCAAGAACATGTGGTCTTTGTCTGATTTAGTCTGTTTCTGGTACGGAGTGTTTCTGGTTTGGCCAAACGTTTCAAAGTTAATATCAAGAACTACCCTCTCTAGTCGATATTGTGGGCTCTTGCTGTTCGAAGACATATCCATCTGAAAAGTGGTTGGAGCCGTTTAATTTCTTTCACTGACACAGAGTTATATATAGTCTTGTTCTTACTTTGCGCAGTCCCAATGGTTCATGGAGGAGAGGCATCAAATCTTCCAAATGAACGGCATCATTTGGCCTTCGTCCATTCTTGTGACCATGGCTACGTCGACGTCTTTGAGATACCGGAAACAGACTCAATACATTAACGTTGGCTGTTCGTTGGTTGTGAAGACTGCCAACATCTTTAATTTTGTCATTACATTCACATGGCATTGTAGTATACAACAGTTGAATCGAAAGATTTTCTCTGGACATTCTATAAGGTCGACTGCGTTTAAGGCCATTAGATGGACGGTATATGTTCTCTAATACCCTAACTTACATGCAGAGGATGGAGTTATTTTCAGAATTGAAACGTTGGGAGACACAAAGGCTTGATGAGTTACAAGGGAAAAATAATTAGGTTTTTTTTTTAATATTTGTATTACAAACAGGAGGGCAAAAGAAAGTATACACTTGAACAAACAATTGCAAACATTATCAAATCGTTCCTCGACTGAAAACAGTCACCGAAACAGTGCAAACTTTAGGTCCAACACACAGCTATTATACCCTTACGTAAAACACTACCACCAAATAGGGGCGGTCGGGTAGCCTAGTGGTTAAAGCACTCGCTCGTCACGCCGAAGACCCGGGTTCGATTCCCGACATGGGTACAATGCCTTAAGCCCATTTCTGGTGTCCCCTGTCGTGATATTTCTGGAATATTGCTAAAAGCGGCGTAAAGCCATACTCACACACTCACTCGCTTCAAATAAACATTTCTTGTTTCATTTTTAACCATCAAACATGGGTGTATACTTTCTTTTGCCCACCAATATATATGGTAATATACTACACAATGGCGTGAAACTGTTAATATATCCCACAAAGCATGTTTAATGTATTAGTAACTATGAAACGTAACTTTTAGAGTCAATATTGTTTTACTCTGCTTTTAGCATTTTCCCAGCAACATCAGGGTGGGCGACATAAGCAATTTGCATAACGCCTTTTACCCATGTGAGGATTCGAACCAGGTGCTTCGGCATGACGAGCAAACACCTTTACCAACTGGCTTCCCCTAACATAAGGTAGGATGAGGTATCTGCGTTATGGAATCTCTGCGTTGTGGAAAGATATTCTGGTTTGTAATAATCTTAAACCCTAGCCATTTAACATAAGCTAAGAATATAAAGACATTCCAGAACTCCTCGGCCTTGGCGGGCTTCACACGTGACAGTATCATATATCTATTCTCACCGCCAAATGAAACGCGAACCACAGAATCATATAGAGAAGTAATGTACATGTACATTAAGAAGATAGCTTAACGTGTAGCAATTAATGACAAAACTAACAATCAGTCAAGTGTTACCACAGAGCGTCCTTATTCTTATCGTTATATGCTGCAGGTGATTTCCAAACTTTTTACGCTAATCCTGCACGAGACAAATGGTGCAATTTAGTCATGGATCCATGACGTCACATGTGAAGCGTTCATGAGCGTCGGTTGGCCCAGTTGTCTTAGGCACCGCGATTCGCTGTGCAGAGTTGCGTCTCTTGGGCACACCAGAAACCATGATTGTGGGTTCGAATCCCGGTTCGCCCCGATTATGTTTCTAGGTTTGTCATCACCATACCCGTGCTCGTGGGTTTCACCGAAGAGGTATACGTCTGAGACCTGTATCACTTCGGGCTTTCCTCCCACATTACCACTGTCAAAAGCGAGGGTTAAACCAACTCACTCACTCACTCACTCACTCACTCACTCACACACATGTTGTATACCCTTGAACAATCTACAGTCGGGTTAATTCTGACCTTGTGTCTATCGGACTGACAGGGACGGGCTGTAAACAGATCAGAGATATGCGCCGGAAGAGCTGAATAGAGTATGAGATTACTTGATTTCATTTAACTTTCTGCGATGTGTATTGGAGTATTCATTGCATAATGATTCCGCAAATTCTATATGTCTGCAGTGAATATTTTCACAAAGGTATTTCCTTACTCTTCAGAATTTCAATAGCCACTAAAAATGATAGAGAAATAAAAACAGCAGAAGTAAGACTTGATGGCAATACTTTTATTACATTTCCTAATTAATGACAAAAACAAATGAACAACACAACAAAAAACAAATGAACAACAAAACAAAAAACAAATGAACAACAAACAAAAAACAAATTAACAACAAAACAAAAAACAAATGAACAACACAACAAAAAACAAATGAACAACAAACAAAAAACAAATTAACAACAAAACAAAAAACAAATGAACAACACAACAAAAAACAAATGAACAACACAACAATAGATCCTCTTCATCATAAACATGGGTTAAATGAGCAAAGGTAAAGTAAATGTAAAATGCAAATATATAATTTCCGCAGGACAAACAATACAGTCCCTAGGTATACACACATTCTTTTCATGGAGAACATTTTGCAATATGGCGGCGACACGCTGAGGATTGTTTACTCCGTGTGCTGGTCACGTGACCTGAATTCGTGATGACGTCAGGTCAAATCAGCCAATCAGGTCTGAAAATATAACAGAACAGATACTCAGCTGGAGTTGATTGATCGGACAATACAAAAAGTATATACATCAGACAGGTTCCCTTTGTGTGATCATGATGTGACAGAAATACTGCCGACGTCAGTGTCAAGTTTTACTCCATTTTAATCACTTTCTCAAATGTGTTTGTGTGTGCGTGCGTGCGTGCGTGCGTGCGTGCGTGCGTGTGTGTGTGCGTGCGTGCGTGCGTGTGTGTGTGTGTAATATGCCTTATTGCCCGAATGGCTACTTTTCACTTCATAGTAACAGCATACATGCAGCTACATGTATCTTTGTAAAAATAATAATCGCGATATTTCGTAATTCTATTTCAAGTGGCGAGGAATATAGGTTACATGTGTGTGTTTGTGTTTGTTTGTGTGTTTGTTCTCGGTGTGTGTGAATGTGTGTGTGACCTCAAACATTAGTTTTCAACAGCACTGTGTCAGTGAAGCTAATTTCTTCAATATAATTTTCGAAATGAAATGCAATTATGTCCAAAGTGAGATGAGGTTGTGACAATCAACTGTGACTATCGAATTC